ATATGAAGAGTAACTTTGCACATGACTGGATAGAGAGAAATAAAATAATTTAAATGTGGGGAAAATAATCTTCCTGGAACGGCTTATATACATCCCTGCTTGGTATTATATGTACAATTCATTGACTGCGCCTCCCCTTGAGATAGATGTATTCCTTTCATTCCTATGGAAGGGATAGATATCAGGAGAATGATTTGAATTCATGGTTTCATCATGACCTGCACACTGACTGGCGGATTAACTTGTTTAATTTTCTTGTATCCTTCACTAGGCCGGTGCTGGTCCTGCGGTACTCCACTCACTTATCACACAAATCTGTGGTTCTCTTTATGGGATTCATTGGTGCTTTAAGTGAAACCAAAGGTATAACAAGGCTTGCAGAACTAAACTCATGGTCACACACAGTGCCTTGCGTCTGAGGATTTTCTTTAAATTAGTATTTTTTTATTTTTTTTTTAATTCTTTATTTTTGTTGTGCATGAGTAACAATCATATGACAGTAATGCCACAACAGGATACTTAGACAATGTGAACATACAAGAGTGTGAACTGTTATATAGCATTGAGAAGGTACGCACAGATATTTATATAGTGATAATAGCGAAATCAAGCTGGGTACATGCTGGTGAGCCATAGTGAGTTCTTCTATCGTTGATTACAGTAGCGTAAGGTTAATAAGTGTAGTAAGTGTCTTCGCTTTAGCCTCGGGCCCTTTATATAGTCGCACTTAACTATGCTCAAGTGTGGAAGAAGTATTCCTAGCATTTACAGGCTGTCTAAACAGTCATATCCAACAGTAGATAGACAGTTATTGCCGTTACATTTTTAACATGCTTGGGAACATATGCTGAACTAAAGGGTATAACAATAACAATTCGTGCCTAGTCACCTGGGAGGTTGATCGTGAGCATGTATATTAAATATATAAAACTGGTGATATAGGCTGCTTAGAAATAATAATCCTGCCCGTTTAGTGTAGAATGCAGTGTACTAGATCCAGCATGTTGTCAAACATGGCAAGAGCGCTGTTAGTGCACCTCTGTGTGCAGGGTTAGTGTGGAAGATATGCTGCTGTGTTGTTATGCAAAGCATGGAGATTTGCAGCAGAGTCAGCAGTGCACACATTACCTTCTATGCCGGACATGCCAAATCATAAAATAATCTAAGATAACAATATAAATGTTAAGCATCAACATGAGCCTGGCAGGTAGGAAAAGTCAGAGGAGAGACACAGAGGGAAAGCATTGCATTTGTGGTAAAGCACTGCTGTGGTGAGGCAAAGCAATGCAGTAGGTTTACAGGCAATATATTTTAGACATGCAAATTACTGACTGGGATGAGCGAGTAGGTAAGTCAGTTCGCAGGTAGCCATTAGTATCCCTGCTCCTAATAAGTCATGCTAGGCTGTATATGCATAAAATAGTGCTAGCTGGGCTTAGATTTAGATAGTGTTAGCTAGCAACACATTGCGGTTTAGATAAATACATGCAGGCAATAAAGTTAAAGGGTTGGCAAGGGGTGACATGGTATTAGCTCAAAGATTGGTACTTTAAGTTTAGTTGGTGTGCAGGGTGTGTAAAGAAGTCCTGCTGTAACGAGCTATGCTCGGCAGACCCTATTCCGCTGCCCGTGCTTATCCGATCCCCTCTGGGTGCCAGACGCAGTCCTTGGGAGCTCTCCTGAGTATCCTGCTTTTCTGCATCTCGGCGGGGCGGTGTGGGCTTCTGTGTCCGAGTGTCAGATGAGGTGACCTGTTTGCTTCTCGGGCTCGTGTCCGCCGTAGGGCTGGATTCTGCAGTGATCTGTACCTCGGCATTGTCGGGCAGGTTGAACGGGCCTGGCGGGTTTTGGCTCTCCGCTGTGCCCTGCGTCTGTTGTAGTATCTCCTGTCTGTTTTCGCCCTCTTGCGCTGGGGTCGTTGTGGCTTTGCCTGCCGTGTTAATGAGGACTGTCCTGCAATTATGCCCCTCTGAGCCTTCTTTCTGGTTGGAGGCAGTGTCTTCGCAGGGAGGCTGCTTGCCTGTGTGGAGATGAGCGGTTGCGTTCTGGCCTCCAGTTTGCGCCAGAAGTTGGCAAAGATTGCTTCCAGCCTATGTAGGACCCCTAGTTGTGGGTCTATAGGCTCGGGGAGACATGAGGCATCCGCCATTTTGGGTGTCGCGTCGTGTAGCATGCATGTCGGCGCTGTTCCCCCTTGCACTCTCTCTGTACCAGGTTCGCCTCCCTTGTATGGACCGCGATCACCCCCGACGGTCCAGGGGGGGGAGTAACGGGGCTCCCGCTCGTGATGTGTCGGCATCCAGTGGCGCCGGACCGGGAGATCGGCCGCCTCTCCCGCTCGACGGGCCCCAGGCCTCATGTCACAAGTCGGTTGGCCAGCTGACCTCAGACGATTCGCTGCCCCCAGTGTTGTTTTTGTGCCCTTTTGTGGGTCAAGTAGGTCTGTTTGGGTTGCCAATTTTGAGTTATTTAGGGCCAGCAATAGCTTTATTTGCCTTGTTGTCTGGGGAGCTCTGCAGTAGCACGTCTGTCTTCCATGCTGGTCAGGCCCCGCCCCCCCTAAATTAGTATTTTTATTCCTGTTTCCATGCATGTTTTCCTGTTGCGGACTATGTCTTTGCCTGATATTGAGTCCCATTTACCAATGTCTGTCTCTTACTGTCTATCCAGGAGCCTGTCCCAGTTCTTGAGTTCAGATTCAGGCTTGGCCATTCTATATTAGAACCAATAAAACCATGTTGCATCTATGAAATCTCCCTAATCAGAAGGGAGATGCTGACCTCACATTTCACATCCACTTACCACATTCTATTATGGTGATATCATATAGTGACCTCACAGTGCAGCAAATCCACTCACAGGGAGAATAATGGCAGAATTCTGATATGGTGACATCATAAGGCACATCCATTAACCAGAAGCCAGGGGCATTGTTTGTGTGTTTGGACAGGTAGGGAGAAACGTGAATATATATGTATGATGCTTGCGATGCCACAACAGCTAGAGCAAGCGTTTTAATAGACAGACAATTGTATGGCATTAGATAACACTGTACATTTTTATGATGTAATGTAGAATAAGAGGAACAAGCTAGGCCTACATTGGCTATAGGGTAGGCAGATGTGTCCTAACAATAGACAAAACAATAGCTAATAAATGTAATGTGAGTGTGGACATGGATATAATAAACAAGAATGTGTGTAAAAAAATGAATGCAAAAAAATTATTTAATGAAGATAAATACAATCAGACAATTTATGAGTGTCAAGAGGAGTGAACTGAATTAAGGACCTGATGACAAAAATGAGAGTCAGCATTTGGAACCGAATTTATTAGGACTGAGCGCTGGCACTTAAAGGACCACTCTAGGCACCCAGACCACTTCAGCTTAATGAAGTGGTCTGGGTGCCAGGTCCCTCTAGGGTTAACCCATTTTTTAATAAACATAGCAGTTTCAGAGAAACTGCTATGTTTATAAATGGGTTAATCCATCCTCCAAATCCTCTAGTGGCTGTCTCATTGACAGCCGCTAGAGGCGCTTGCGTGATTCTCACTGTGAAAATCACAGTGAGAACACGCAAGCGTCCATAGGAAAGCATTGTAAATGCTTTCCTATGAGAGCGGCTGAATGCGCGCGCAGCTCTTGCTGCTCGTGTGCATTCAGCCGAATGGGAGGATCGGAGGCGGAGAGGAAGAGGAGAGCTCCCCGCCCGGCGCTGGAAAAAAAGGTGAGTTTTACCCCTTTCCTCTCCCCAGACCCGGGCGGGAGGGGGACCCTGAGGGTGGGGGCACCCTCAGGGCACTGTAGTGCCAGGAAAAAGAGTATGTTTTCCTGGCACTATAGTGGTCCTTTAAACTCCTCTGTTATACAAGAAAGCATTAAGGAGAAAAATCTCAGCATGGTCTAGGGCCAATTTGCGTATAATAGTAGTCCTACGTAAGCACTTTGCATGGCAAGACACTAATGCCTCGTCACGATGCTGCTATCACCGATGTGCCTGGCGGAGCTGAGAGAGACCTCCTTCATGCGTCCCATTGAGTCAGCCCCTTTCAAGCATCGGCATCAGAAAACCAGTATGCCCCAGGGCAACATTTCTTCTATGGTTGGGGAGCAGGAATAAAGCAAGGGCAGCAACAATGCAATATGCCATGATATTGTGAAGATCAGGGATGAGACTTAAACTGGGGTTAATTGCAGGGTCTTTATTAGTTATCTTAGATATACTAGTAAACACAGGATATCCTATAATTGTAGATATAGGAAGGATAATAGCAGATAAACCTACAATAGATATTATAGATTCTATATACAGGGGAAATAGGAAAACAGGATTAAGGCAATATGCCCCAGAACAGGATAAGAAAAAAGCTAAATAGAACTAGACAGAAATAAATATAAATACTTAAATAGGGTTGCAGTTGTTCAGTCTCTTTGGTTAAGAGGTTGTATAGTAGTAGTAGGTCCTTTGTGATGGATGCAAAGTAGATTGGAATATAAGTAAATCCGAGGAAGTATTTTCAGGTAATCATCAACCTTCAATGTCAAGGCCACTTGCTTTGTTGGGTGTGGCCTTTTATAGCAAAACATTATTTTTTGTTCTGCAGGTGAGAGTTGGAGGTGACTAGTGGCTAGGGAGGCCACTAGAGGCGAGAAACAAGTACTGGAATTTAACCCGTTAAGGACGGGGGACGTACTATGGGAAACTGCTCTAAATGCCGGTGGGTGGCATAGCATGTCCCCGCTGTCTTTTGTACTTACCCAGCCGCCGGCGATCCCACGCCGGCAATCGCGTTATGGGGGCTCACCTGGGAGCCCAGGGAGTCCCCCTCCTTCCTCTTCGGTCCCCTGGGGCTATGTGATCGCGAGGAACTCGCGAATTACATGGACGGCAGTGCCAGCAGGGGGAGTGTACTCCCCGTGCTTCCTAAAATAAAGAAAATAAATGTTAAAACAGTGTAAAATTAAGTAATATATACTTAGATACTTATGATCTAAGTATATGTGTGTGTGTGTGTGTGTGTGTGTGTATATACATATATATATATATATATATATATATATATATATATACACACACGCACACATATACATACACTAAGTGTATTTTAATATATATATAAATATCAAAATACACGTAGAATTGTATTATATTGATTAAATATATATATATAATTATTATATATATATATTTATATAAAATAAATATGTAAATACGTAAAAAAAATTAAATAAAATAAATAAAAATGTGTAATTTCGTTCTAACTGTATTTTAAAATGTGTGTGTATGTATATGTATGTATATATATATATATATATATATATATATATATATATATATATATATATATATATATATATATAATTTGTGGTCAGGGAAGAAGGCCGTATTTATGTGGACCTATACCTCTAATCATTAGTCTAATATACTAAGTCGGTTGTAGTGTGCCGAAACCGAAGAACGGGTCGGCCTGTAAATAAAGAGGGCAAAAGAGAAGTATCAGTTCCACACTTTAATACGTATACACATACCTTATTACCCGAGCTTCCCTACTTTGCCAATTGTTTAAAAGCTTGTCTCAACTCTCTCAGGTTGAGGTATGTAACTGTGATATGCCGAAGACTTCCAACAGCCTAGTTTTTTTTATAATATGAACTGGTACGTTTTGGCTGGAGGTTGATGTTGCCGCTCCGATACGAAAGGAGTGGCCTGTATATGCCGTGGGATTGTACCCGATTCTTGTGAATAGTAGTCTCACGTATTTGACGAATTTTGATGTAGTCGGGTTGACTGTGTATTGTGAGGAGAGGAGCTTGTTTGGGTTGATAAGCCATACCTGCCATGTATTTGTCGAATAGTTGTACGGGGCACCAATGATTGCCGGTTGGGTAAAATTGAATGTCAAGGTGCGGACCCATTTGATTTGTTTGAATGTCTTAATGACAATGTGTAGTGATCACCTATTATGTTTATGTGTGACACGCACAGTATATTTCCCTTATTGTTGATGTTGCTTAAGGTGAGTTTGTTGGGACGCATAAACCCATAAAATGCCAGGTATATGGCTGTTTTGAGTGTGTTATTGGTGTGATTATCAAAGGGTTTGGTATCTAACATGTCAGACAATTCCCTGAATTTCTCTGCGTCAATTGGTAGTTGTCTAGTAGGTTTTGGGTTTTCTAGGCGTTGGATGCCTTTTAGCATGTTTTTAATGGGGTGTGCTGATAGGAAGTTTTTTATACTGGGATATGTGTTGCTTACATGATGCTGTATTCCAGTTAAATAGAGTTTTATGGTGTTGTGTGCCCGTTTCAAGTTGAGATGGCAAAAAGAGGTGAAAGCCACCATAGTATCTAACCTATAAGGATTCGTAATGAGGTATTCTGAAACAAATTTGTTGAATAACATTAAGGCTCGGTTGTACGTGCGTCTGGTGTTTGGGGAAAGTGAGGCCTGTGCTAGTGCCCTCCCGTGCTCCATGAGTAATTTTAGTCCAGGATGAGGTCTCTGAACTGCGGCGCCTTGCTTGGCTATTCCTCTGCTTGGGTGTAGCTGTCTGAAAACCTGTAATTTTGAAAAGGATAGTGCGTCAGCTGCTGAATTATGGTGACCTGGCACGTGTATGCAAGTCAGGAAAAAAAATTTTTGTGTGGCTGCCAACCATGTGAGTCTCCTGACCAGGTTCATGATGGTTAGTGAAGAAGACCTGCCTTTGTTCAGAATCTCGCAAGCCACCATGTGGTCAGTGTAGCATTTGACAGCTTTGCCTCCCCATAAGTGGCCCCAGACTTTAGCTGCTGCCACTATGGGGTAGATCTCAAACAGTGCCGAAGTCTTTGTGAAAGCGGGTAATCCTAGTGCTTTGCTAAGCCAAGCATCCCTCAACCATCTGTCTTCGAAGATGGCTGTGAAACCTGCGTAACCTGCAGCATCCATCCATAACACAGGGGAGTTTAATGTCAACGGTGGTATGAACAAGTTTCTCCCATTCCCGTCCGACAAGAAATGGTACCACCTGGTCAGATGCGCCCTAGCCTGAATGTTCAGTGTAACCCTGCTGTTGTTGTTGGGTAAGTTGGGTAACAAACCGAGTAGACGTGAGATGAAAGCTCGTCCCTGTGGTATTACTCTCATGGCGAAGTTGTTGATGATATGATATGTGCTTAGTTGTCTGAGTAACAACGGATTGATGACCCTGACCATGATTTACCCCATACCACAGCAGCTGCTTTTAGCGTGGAAAGGATTGCCTATTTTTATGCCATGTAAGTGCCAGTGTGTAGGGTAGATGGTAGCCATTTACTGTGTTGATGATATTGGTCTTAACCAAGCTTCAACCCATGCTTGAGTGATAGCTGTAAAGGTAGATCAATGGTGTGTATAGTAAGGAAACTCTTCAGAGGGTATGAGGGAGTTGAGACTTGGGGTAGCGAAGGTGTGTGGTGCCAATAAGTCTATGGTTAGTCTTTGTTTAAGGGAAGATTCCCTTGTGACAATACCAATGTGTTTGTATTTGGCGCCATGCTGTAAATGGTGGAGATTGGAAAACCCAAGTAAAAACCCCTCTGCTATTCTTGGCTATGAGTGTGTTTACAGCCAATGGTTCTGTTGTGCTGACTGTAAGTGAGGGCATGCTATATTCCTTGAAGGTGTATGTATGATACCTGTATGGGAGCCCTTTGAAGCTCCGGAGCTTTAGTAAATCTACTACAAGTCTGGAAGGGTGATGAGTCAGTAGTGTTGAAAATGGATTGGTGTGTACAGATGGTGAGTACGTTATTTGTAAGTTGTATTGGGACACATGGTTTGTCATGTGCCCTGAATGATTTGAACATATATGCAACAGTCTATATGCAATGCAACGACTCATACCAATTGTCTCTGGTAGTTCAGAGGTGCTGGTACCTGGAGCCTGAGAGTGCTCGTCCATTTGTTTGGTAGAAAATCCCTTCTGTATGGGTACCTGCACAAATAAGCATCTCTACATATTCCAAATGCCAACACAACCAAGGGATGGTCTGTTCCCGATTTACCTGGAATCTCTGGGTCTGACCATCATAGATACAGCATCATACATATTTATGCCTTGTTTCCCCAATGTGCCGGGATCATATGTGCAGGGTTAACGTCTTGTACCAAGAATTGATTGTACCAGATAACCGAGTTTCGGTCGGTGCTGGTTGTACAGTAGCGTGAGGGCTGTGGTGACCGACTCGAGATTGCCAGTCTGTCGTAAATTTTTTGGCTCATGAGTTTGAGTGAGGCTAGCATGGCCTAGGTTTCACCTTAGTTGGTGTTGCTGGGCCTTCCCCTGTCTCCGTTTTATCCGTTGATGTATGGAGGAGTTTGAATAACGCTGCGTTCCTTACTGTGGCAGGGTAGGGGATTTGTCACCTCCTTAGGTTGGAGCCACATCTCCTCTGCTTGAAGGTGTATCAAGGGGAAGGGGAGTGACAGGTGAGGCCCTCTCTGATACAATGCGAGACGGCTAGCTCACGAGTGGCCCGAGGGTTGTATGCCTCAGAGTGTGAGGCGGGGTGTTGGCCTCGTGGGACCACTAAATGAAGCGTAAAGCAGAGAAAACAGGGGGTAATACCTATTGGGCCATAAAACCCTAATTGCCATTATATTACTACTATTCCAGGGAAATGATGAGTGTATCACTTCTAGCCGGGGTGCTAGGAAGAGGAGATTCTTTACCATCTTTTGGGGAAATACTTAAATAACAATAAAGATTGCAATTATATATTTGTACCCAGGGCTCTTGTACCGGCTTGCTAGCTAAGCCGTAAGGCAAAACGATTAGGCTTGGTGTTTTTTGGTGACTGGTGAGTCCCTGCTAGTTGCCAAGTGGCTTGAGAGGCTCTATCTATGCTTGGTGCGAGGGGATTTTTTGTGGCCACCGAACATTGTGGCAGGATGTTGGCCTCTCGGTGACAGTAACCAGAAAAATAGGAAGGGGAGTGACAGGTGAGGCCCTCTCTATGATACAATGCGAGGCGGCTAGTTCACGAGTGGCCCGAGGGGTGTATGCCTCCTTGTGTGAGGCGGGTTGTTGGCCTCGCGGGACCACTAACCGAAGCATAAAGCAGAGAAAAAAGGGGGTAATACCTATTGGGCCCTAGAACCCTAATTGCCAGTACACTATTACTATTCCAGGGAAGGTAAGAGATGGATAACTACATGAGCAGGTGTATGTACCTGGTAGTATGGTATTGAACCTGACAATCCGTATGGGTTTTTTAGTAGTAACTGTAACCTGAATGGATAAAATCGTATGGCATAAGGAAATATGGCATAGACCAAGCTTATCTTAAAACATACAGTATATGTGAAAAGTAAAGTGCCGTGACATGTAAATATTAATCATCATAGCCATACTGGCTAAATATGTATCAATCTTAACCCATTAAGTGCCGTATGTACAAGTGAAAAGTGGTCTGTCCCCACCTTGGATGTTGTATGTCCCATTGCTAGGGGAAAGTCTGTTGTGTGAGCAGTGTGCTATGAAAAATGTATGTGAACTATATTACCAGTTACATATATACAGATGCGTGTGCTACTGTGTAATAATATGTGTATTTATACCAGATGTTGATATGCTACTTGCTATGTGAATTGTTGTATGCCTTATTGAATGGTAGTGGTCAGTGAACATGGTGTTGCAAAATGCAAGTGCACTGGAGAACTGCCGAGTGCCCTATAGGTGGCAGTGTAGTTGATGCTGATTGGTATGTGAAATGTTTTTTCTGTTGACCTATAGGGGTCAGTGTTTTGGTGTTTGTAAAACCCCATGAAAATTGTCAATGTACTTGACAGACCTGTAGGTGGCAGTGTTGATAGAACCACTGTTAGTCTTGATGTGAAAGACAAAATGTTGAGCCATTGCTGGAGTTTAATTTATGGTTTATGGTTATGTTTAAAACAATCTTATGTGTAATTTATATTGGCTAGTAATTGTATATGACATGTGAAGACAGTTTTGCTGTTGACCAATAGGGGTCAGAAACGCTGATTGAATGGTAAAATACCCTTTAACCCCTTAAGGATACATGACGTGTGATATGTCATGATTCCCTTTTATTCCAGAGTT